GTTTCAGGTGCACAGCTGTATGCTGGCCTACACACATCACCTTCCGTTTGAATGTCGACATGGCCAGCAAGCCAGCTTGCAAGTGCAGGCAAACTAATCGCATTCCTAGTTCTTTTAGTCTTGAATTTAAGTTCCCCTTGTAGCCGCAAAATTTTTCTTGCCCTTCTAAGTGTATTTAAAAAAGATGGAGTAAAAATCATGCCAGCCCCAGGTCAACGCTTAGCTCCCAGGCCTGCAGTGGGAACCACTGCTGGGGAATTCGTCTGGAACCGAATGCACCAACACAGGAGGAAAAGCGGAAAGCGACGCTATGGGATTCGTTCATACTTTTAGAAGGCTGAATGATGTGGGTTTTGCTTGAACTTCGTTTTTTTAAATTGCAGTTCAAAGACATGTAGTTATCACCCTCTGCAATCAAGCTGTGTCACAGAGAATAACCCATCATAAACCCCACCTGAGAAGAAGTGACTCCAGGGAGTTCAAGGTGCAGCAGTGGAGCTGCACAGCTGGGGCACAGCTCTGGGTGCAGCATGGCACTAAGGGATGCAGGACAGCCTGGTACCCGGGGCACAGTGCTCAGCACAGGTGGACACTCCACGCTCTTACTCTGCCCCCTCTAACAAATTTTGTAGCTTCTGTATCATCTACCACTGTTGCATCCAAACCCAGTTAGATGATTTACTGCTGGCACAAGTTTGGTTGTTCTGTGCTTTGATCATTACAGCAACAGTCTTCCCAAGGACTTGGAAGCTCCACCTAAAGTACAAAGCCTACAATGTTTTTCTCCTGCAAACACATTCACAGTGCATTTCCAAACAAATGTCCTCCAAAGCCTAGAAAAGAGCACTGTTCATCTGCCGTGGGCATGCCCCCCTTCTATGGGGATGGATCTGCATGCAGCTTTCCCCAGTACTTTCAGCTGGTGTGCTGTGTTTTATGGCTCAGATCATTCCTCCTGCTCTCAGAGGCATGTGAGGTGTGGGACACGTTCTCCTACAGAGGAGGGCTGCCTGACATTGAAAATGAAGCACAAAGGCTGTTCAGTGTGGTGCCCAAAAGGGATGGGATCAGGCAGCAACTACCTAATATGCTGCATGCCAAGGTACAATGCTGTACTTCAGCGGGCAAGCGAAGGAGCTGGTTCCTGGGTCGCGTGCTGGGATGGATGACTCAGCTGAGCAGGAGGAGAAAAAGGTTGATATATTTTCAGTTCTCCTTAGAGGTGTTGCCAGTACCTCTCGCAGGAATACAATATGCTATTTCTGCCATCTGCTGAGCACTCCTACGCCTGCTGGCTGGCAGAGCATTCCCCCACGCTTAATGGGGACCCAGAGGTTCGTTTAGAAGCAGCTCTGCAGGAAGGTTAATGAGGGGACTGCAGAGGGGGATTCCTGGGGGCCGCTCCTGGGTCTGCTGCCAGTTTGCAAAAGAATTTCTGGGAAACTGCAAAGTCATGTGTCTTCTATGAAAAACACTGGGGTACGAGGCAGCCTGAGTGAACGACCATACAAGTGAGCAACCTTTTTCCTGAACAAACCTGGTTCTTACTTGATTTTCCGTAGGCGTGTTCATGAAGCCAGCTAGTTTCTGTCTGCATCGACGCTGAGATTCCTGGCAGCTTCTGCACGGCGATGGGCTCGACGCTGCCCGGCATTTCCATTTCCCTTCGTTTAAGACACAAACCCACCTATTAGTCATACGCAATGACTTCAAAGCAGTATCCCTTGATGCTTATACTAATGAAGGAGCCTTTCCCAAACATATTTAATTAAAAATCCGAACACTTTAGCTATAGTAAGCAGGGCCTGGCCGCAGTTTTGCCGGCTGCCATCCCGTCTAACGGCGGCCACTGGGTGCCGATCCCTCGGGATGGCCGCAGCCCCCTCGCCGGTTCCTCCACCGCTTCCCTCCCGGCGACGTTTCGGGTGTCGGGGCGGGCAGTGCCGGGCCTGGGATGCCGCGGGGAGCTGCGTGCCGGCTGGGAGCCCTCCCCTATCCCCGGCACTACCGATCTGCCCGCCCTCCCCTCACAGGGCCCAGCGCGCCGAGAGGGGAGGCGGGGGAGAAACCGCCCTGTCCCGCACGGCACGGCCCGACCCCGCTCCTCGCCCCCGCACCGGTCCGCCCCGTCCATAGCTCGGCTTGGCCCGGCCTGGCCCTGTGCGGCGTCGTCTCCATGGCGACGCGGCGGGCGCGGGGGCTGCCGGGGCGGCGGCTCCGCCTGAGGCGGGGCGGGGTGGGGTGACCCCGGCTTCGTACCCGGTGGGGTCTGCGGGGTTGGTGGGTCTGCGGGGAGAGCCGCACCTCGTGTGTGGGGCAGCAGGGGCTCTGCCACGGTGGTCGGGCCTGGAGCCCTGCAAAGGGCGCTGAAGGTGAGCAGGCCTCTGTGGGGAGGTGAGAAGCCCGTGGGGGTGGGTGATGGTGGCTCTCGAGGGCCTCCATCCCCTTCAGTGTGGGCACCCTCCTGCTGCTGGGGCTGAGCTGCGGCCTTCTGCACCAAAAGGGGAGCGGGGCTGAGGGTGAGACGCTGCTGACTTGGCCTGGTGTGACTCACCTGCTTGGACATGACCTCCTGCTGCACCTGAACCACCTGCCTGTGCAGATTTCTTATGTGTTTGTCATGCGCTTGTCATACATGGGTTGCTGATGTCTCCTGTGGCACTGGGTGCTGTTGAGTCCCTCCAAGGAATTTGCACTTGCAGCTTGGAGAGTGACAGCAATTCTCTGCAGGTATGTGGTTTGCAAGTGAACACAGGCTTTGGGTTCACCTTAGGACAGCACATATAGGCTACATTATCTGGGCCTTGTGTAAGAATTTGCAGTGGTCTTACAAGCACTTGAGTTCTATCACAAAATAAGTAAGTCTTACTCATTTTTAAAAATGGCAAGGGTATGTTGAGGTGCAGCCAGTGGTATTAGTGCAGGGGTTGGACGTGCTGCTCAGCTGGCATTGGTGCCAATAGCTCCTTGTGGTCCTGGGGGATTGTGTCTGTGGTCAGCTGGAGCAGATCCTGGTGCTGCCACAGCTTTCACTTCTGGCTGCAGCACGGGCAGAGGCAAGTGTCCTAACAGCACACAGCCTGATGCTGGCACAACTCCAGGCATGAACCACTGAAGCTGTACTCTTGCTAAAAATCCATCAGTCCCTAGGAGTTTTTGTGGTATTCTTTGTGTTTAAAGTGGAAATTGGTTTTAGGGAGAATTGTTAGCCATATAGTTGTTGAACTCAACACAAAAACTGCTTCATAGGCACAACTCTTGGTCACTCGTATTGCCTTCTGCAGTTAACCGCTCCCAGGTGGTGGTGGGCTGTTGGGCACATGCTGTTTGCTGTAGTGTGGCCAGGTGGTGGGAAAGCTCCCTGCAGCAGGGAGCTCTGTCTGCTGTGGCTCCCTCGCTGCCACCAGCTCCTGGGCAGATTTTTCCAAGGGTATGATTCACCATCCACTTCAAAGTCAGATTGCTTTTTTGGTGGTCAGGAGAAAACCATTGGTGGTCATTAAGAAAACTAGGCTGGCCTCAGGAACATTTTCCTGAATGTTTTGAGGAGCCTTCACACCCTTACTGATGTGCTGCTACTTTCCTTGGCAAGAGGCTGGTGACCTGCAAGTCTCTCCAGCCTCTGGCCCTCAGACATCACGCTTGGGAAGTCGCACCAGCTGCATAGGGAAGAAAACCTGAAGCATTTTGATGGAGTGCTGGAATGATTGTCACCTGTTCATTCACTGTTCTGAAGAAGAAATGCATCACTGCTGAGGTACTCCTTATCCTAAATTCAGTTTCAGTCAGAAAAGATACAGGTTGTTGGGGTTTTTTGTTGTTGTGAGATACAACGAAAGTTTGCCTTTCTTTCAGAACTGAATGTGTGGAAAGACCTAATGAAATAATGTGTGTTAACTTATCTAATGTGGGTTATAGGCAACATTGGAATAATTAATTTCATTAATTCTGCTATAATCAAAGACATGTTTCAGAGTTTTGGTTTGCACAAAAAAAGCTGTTATGTCCCAACCGTCAGTAAGAAAAATTTACCTTCCACTATAAATGCTACTGAAATACGGGAAAATGAATCAAATCCTTAGGAATTCTTGCTTAACAAGTTCTGCTGAAAGCACAGGTGTTAACTCCTGTCAGATCCAGAGCTTGACTTTGATCCTGCTTAAGCAGGAGTAAATTAGTTCACTCGGCTGATGCTGCTGGAATTCTGCCAGCACAGTGTAAATGAGATCAAATGTAGGATCTCTATAGGAACTGGATACGAAAAGATTAGAGTAATTCCTTGGGAGGTTTTTTTCCCATGGTCACTTCCAAATTCTCAAGGCCAGAACAAACTTCCTTTCGCTGATGTGGTCCTTGTCATTCTCCCATGTGCTTTGTGGGGACTGCTATCAGGCATTGCACGGGACTCTGTCGTAACTCCAAAGAGCTCTTCCCTGGAGGGATGCAGTTAGGACTGGTTTTTCTCCCTTTGCATTATATTTATTCACACCAAGCTTTATCTGTCACTTCACATGTAGTTTTCCACTATCGTGAGGCTGAATAACTCAGGGGACTGTATCACCTCACAACTCATTGCCTCTTCCAAATGGCAAACATCTTAATATTCAGCAAAGCCATATGTGGAGCTAGTATTTTTCTTGAGTGATTCAGACGGCAGGCTCTGGTCGCAGAGGGGGAGCTGCAGGCAGATTCAGCTTCAGTGACAGACTGTGATTTCAGTTTGCACGAGCCAGGCTGTCACTGTTGCCCCTGGGACTCAAATCCTTCCCAGTTCTCCTGCTCATGCTGCAAAGTGGCCCTCTCCATCATCAGGGCTGGGAGGCAGCCAGGACAAGCAGCCCCCCAGCCCCTGGGGGTCCTGCCGCTCGCCTGGGTGAGCTGGGCTCTGTCAGGGGACACCCAGCAGATCCAGCAAAGCAGAGTGCACGAAGTAACAGGAAGCAACGGCTACTGCCACGCACACGCACGTTAGCACAGCACACTATGCAGGGTAGTTTTTGCAAAATATTTATTACAAAATAAAAGAAAATATGGCAACAAAACTTAAATAGCAAATGACGCGACACTGGCCATAAAGCTCTTGCTATATTATTAGTCTTTTACAATAATCAATAGTCAAGTATGTCTCCGAGGGAAGCTGCATGTGAACAGCCTGAATATATTTCTATGTTATTGGCTCTAGCTGTTTGAGATACGTTAGATGTGTGCCTCCTGCTTTCACCAGTACCCGGTTGAGCGGTTGTGCCACGTGCTGTGCTCACTGATCCCCTTAAAACGGACAGGAGCCAGCAACTCCCATGCTCTGTGAAACCTGCCATGCTTCACCCCAGGCCCTCCTCCCCTTTCATCATTTAAAAACATAGCAAATGATTCATTGCCCATCCCTTTTTAAAAAGGTATCAGGAAATGGAGTATCGACACTGAAATACCTATTGTTCCCCTTTGAGTCACAACTTCTCTTGAGAGAGGTTGCTTGGATTTCTTTCCTTTCCCACCTACTGAAAACTGATGTTAAAGCTCACCAGTGAGAAAGCAAGTTTGTGTTCCTGCTGAAAGGGCTTTTAGGTGCGCTCCAAACAGGAATGCAGTTCTTCAAGTCTCTTAAGCCACATGTCTAATGGAAGCACTCTTTAAATAAAATATAATTAAATTAAAAAAGGTGACTGTGTAAGGGGAATCTTCCTAAGGCACCCAAGAATTTAAAAAACTGTTTCTCACTCATATTACTTACAGGACACTCTTGTTCCTCTTCTCTCCAAAGTTAAAAATGTTGGCTAGTTAGGAACCTTAGCAACACGATGATGTAGTTGAGTATCATTTTAAAAAAAAAACAGAACAAAAAGAAAACTCTTGGTGAATGTAAAGCACTATGTCCAGACAGCCTAGGTTTTGCTAGCTACACAAATACATCACGGACAACACGTAGAAATAGTCACGTTAATGCCGAGGTTTCCGTTGTCAGCAAAAAGGTGTGCTATAGCCGTATCAAAAACTAGGCAGTCGCTGTTCAGGATGGCTGCAGCCACCCCATCGTGGATGGAGCGGGGTGTTGCCTCCCAGGTCAGCCGGCGGCGGTTGCCGTTCAGCTCCAGTCTGTACGCAAAGTTCTCCGCTTGCTTACGGGTGCCGATGAGCAGCACGATGGCAAAAAACTGCTGGTGACCTTCGTACTTCTCTTGTTTCTCCAGCACCAGCATGAAGTGGTGACCGAAGCACGACTGCATCATCACCCAGTCAACTGCTCCTGGAAGGTTAATGTCTGTGGCAAGAAAAACGATGTCTTCTCCCTGAAGCGTGGTAATGCTTTTGTGGGCATGCATGAGGTGGGACATCACGGCTTCCAAGGATCCCTGCCATTTACAGGAGGCACCAGGGCATGGGCAGGAGTAGGGACGATACTCACAGATGTCTTCGTGTTCTGGCTTTTCTGTGTGATGGAGTGTCAGAGAGCAGCCTGTTGTGGCATACTGGAAAAAGACCAAATACAAGCCGTCAGGAAAGGCACCAGCACTAGTGTTCGCTGCTCCCACCTGCCAACTGGAAACACTGGTGATGAACCAGAACTCTTGGTCTCATTGCAAATTTTACATTAGATACTTCTATTTAGCCCTGGATCCAGAGCTCAGCTTTACTTATTTTTGTTTCCACTTAAAAATGGATTCTTCTTGTCTTTTGTGGTTGTTTTTTTTCTCTAAGGCAAGCACTTAGGTAAAATGGACTGTAAGGCTGAGTTGTAGTTATATTTGCTGTTGTAGTTAGATCTGATCGGTCCAGATCAGCTGAAGTGGTCCTGGTTTGGATTTTTCTTTTCTTTAAAAAGAACAAAGGATTCTAGTTTCAGCAAACAGCTACTAGAGTGAAGAATTTTTAATAGATGTACCTTATTACCATCACAGAGCAAAAGCACTTCCATTAAATTCAAATGCAGATTCCCCACAGCTTTTTTTAAACACTGGAACAGTTTCAACGCTGCAGTTGTGAGCAGTGGAAAGAGAGGACAGTTTTTCACTGAGTATAAAGCTAGCACATGAGTACCATCTAACTTCTCTTAATGTCATTGGGCACATTAGAGGGCTAATTTGCTTTAAACCACTGGGGACACTTTTCCTTTTTCTAGGCAGTTCAGTTGTCCACACTGACTGTATTGCTGTCATGCTACCTCCATAGAGAGAAAAAGGTCGCTCCTATTCTCCCCAAGAGCACAGCTCCCTGTCTGTAGGTATCTGTAGCGATACCAACACCCCTTCCCTGAGGACAGATCTAATCAAGGTATAAATTATTATTTCTGCGCTAATATGTGTGCAAGAAGTTTCAGCTCAAAGGGTTAAATGCCCATGATGCAAATCACCCATGCTGCAAACACTAGGAGTACTGCGCTAGGAATACTGGGACAGAAACTTGACCTTGTGCTTCTGGAGGAGGTTGTTTTATAAGCCATGAAGAGTTATCGTGAGCCTTAACATGAGCCTTCACTTACTGTGTCTGCCCCTCCTGCTTAATCCTCTGCTGACGGCTTTATTGCCGGGCGCTGCAGAGGAACAAGGTGTTCTCCTGCCAAGGGGCAGTGCAGCCTCCCAGGTATGTGTATGCTTCCAGCCCCACTGACCTGCTGGTGTTTCCCACATTCATACCCCTGCTGACATTTCCATCATGCAGTGTGTTGAAGAGCAGCTCCAACTCCAACCTCATTAACAAAATTAGTAAGGATATACAACCTGCTGGTTGGGCAAAACTAATTGTCTATGCAAAAGCAACCAGTGGTGATTCTAGAAGTGAGAGTGTAAAAACGAGATGAGCAAATAGGGGTGGTTTTGTGCTGCACTGTCAGAAGTACCTGCTTTTGCTCCCAAACCCAGCACTGCTGGTTTCATTTGGTGAGGAGCCCTGGCAGTGATGGGAGACTGTGAATAGCAAAAACTGACTTGCTGTCTTCATGCTGCTTGGCAAATGTCACTGATCTTTATCATACCCTTCAAAACCCTGCTTTGTCTCTCCCTGCACACAGGTTATACAATACCTTTGAGCTACTTGGCCTGTGCACCTTTTCCACTTCTACTGTGTCCGCCTTGGGACGGGGAGCCAGGGCTGCACGCAGTGTTAACAGGGCGGGTGTGAGACTAGTTCCTGGGCTGGTGTGACTGTTTTGTGCTTTTTCATTGCCTTTCTCATAATTTCTAGTATTCCGTGCTAGAAAGTATTGTGTACTTGTTTTTGTAGCCATTTGTTTAGCACTGTATTCTCTTCCCTAAGGGGAAACGGTCAGCTCAGAGCTCATCACTATATATGTGACTTAGCATGCCATGGTTTTGTTTTTTTCCACCTGTGTCATCGTGTGTGCTGCTCTCAACTTCACCTTGACAGGATAGCTTTCTGAGTGTCCTAAAGCATTTGGAAAACATCACTTAAGCTTGAAAGTGCTCAGCAGAGGCAGGCCAGTATTATCAACCCTGTAAACGATGGCAAGCAGGGAAACTGGATTAAAGTAACTTGTCTGAAGCCACATGGGAAATCAGTAGCAGAGCTGGGAATAGACTGCCAAGTCCAAATCCCTCCTGCTCTAGCCAGCACAATCTCCCTCTGGTATACAAGTAGCTTGAGATACGAGTAATGTTTCTGGAAAGAAGAGGCCTGCCTGCTCCTGCATGTGAACATTGCTCTCCTCAGCAATGTTCAGGGACCCAATGAGGATGGAGACCCTCTCTTGCTGCTTCCTCCTCCAGTGCTTTGTAAAACGTCTGTCCCTGCTTTTAAGATCCCCCCAGCCTTCCAAAGCATTCATTCAAGCTTGGCTACAGATGCTCAGCCCAGTCCAGCAGTGATCCTACGGAGCTCCTCCAGGGATGCACAATGAGGTCCAGCCCAGAAAGCAACAAGCATCTGTGCTTTCCAGAGCCTCGCACCAGTGAGGAAACCAGCTCAGGCCACAGCTGGCTGCCCTGCAGAGTGCATTTATAACCCAGCAGTGCTGGGCCTGCTGTTCCGGCTCACTTGGGACAGCACCAGAGAGCATCTTCTCGTTTTATATCAAGCACACAAGCTCTATGCACGTGTGCAGGTAGGATGATGTAAGCAGACTGCTGTGTGTAAGGGATGTTTGTTCAATTAAAACTAAAATAAACTGCATTTTTATCCTAAAAAACCCAACACTGCTTTGTTAGAGTCTATTTTATCTTGGAAATGGAAAGTGTGACCTTATTTAGGTGTAATATATTTGCCTAAAATCTTTAAAATGGCTTTTTTTTTTTTTTAAATTAAAGAAAAGGTCTGAAGAGGCTGTAGAGGCACTATTGGACAAGATACAGGAGTAAGTTTGTATACAATAATAACATGAAGGTGCAATTTCTGTTTGCAAGTTGTTTGCTTACATGGGAAACCTGTCATGCTTTTCCCTTGAACTGATGGTGTAGCAGCAGTGGTCTCAGGACATAGAGCAATTCTGTCTACCTCCTACCACCTGCCTAAAGAAAATAAAGGAAAGTGATTATTCTGGTATTATTTAAGACTTGTTAGTTTATATACAGTCTCGCTATGCCTTCCGCTTTTGAAATACAAAGTGTTGGTTGTGAGGTGCAAAAAGACTTTCCACAAAGCAAGGTGTAAGAGTACAGTACAATGATTTTACTGGATTCACTTTTCTTCAAAAGGACCAGAAGCATCTGGAGACTCAGAAACATGCCAGTATCTCCAGTTAGAGATGGCTGTGTTCAAGGATCTTGGAAGACTCTCTTCATGCGAGGTATCTGTCCTAGCTTCCAAGATGCAGAGCATCACCACTCATAGGAAAACTGGTAAGAATGCCTCATGTACTTAGATTTTTTTTTTTTTTACATGTATGTAATAACTAGAAAAGTAATTTCCTTTATTATAAGTAAAACTTATTTTTAGGTTGAATTAATCACAGCAGTGGGAATTCACTGGTGTACCTATGCAGGAGGTTTTTTGTTTGTGTTTTTTTTTTTTCTTCCATTTCCTGCATTGCTAAATGCCCTTCATATAGCTGCTGAACTGGGCTGCTATCAGTGTGTAAACAAACAGTGAATTTGCTATTGGATATTATTTCCTTAGTGCTGGGCTAGTTTTTGCCCGTGTATGTTGGAGGTAAGTTCTGTTATAAACTGAAACGCAAGCAGGAACTGTCTGTAGTTTAACCCAGGGCAGTTGAGGAGTGCTGGTCCCACGTCATTTCCATGGCTACGCCAAGATCATTCAAGCATGAACATCTTTGTTTGTCAATTCCCACCACAAAAGGCTAGCAAAACACGGCAGGGCACAGATCCTGGCTAATACTCATGGTTACATGAGGACTGCAATTATGCTGATGACAACCGAGAACACACACAACTCTACTTGTTTTCTTGTAGACTTCGGAAGAAGTGGTTAAAACGAGCAACGCCTCTCCCACCTTCCGCTGCTCCGTTAGCCAGGTCCCAGTTCCAAGTTTAGCAGCTAATGATTACAGCGTAGCTCACACAGCTGCTGTGAAAATGGATTCTGGTGTCTGTTCAGGAAGCTTCCAATTCATAAGATTTATTTTCCTTCATAGCCAGTATTGGACAAAATCCCCAAAGTTTTGGAAGAACTTATATCCAAATTAAGTCAGTTTCACTAGACTAGAGAGCACCTTACTGTTATTTTCTACTTGCACATATTTAAAAAATGAAAGAAAACAACTAATTCCTGTTGGCACTCATTAATTAAGAGTTTGAGTGTGTTTATGATTTGCATTTATCTTCTGCAGATTGCTTACAGCACTAAAGGGCATTTTATATTTTCAGTAACTTTACTGTGACTTTAAGATTTAAATCCTCCTATAGATTTTTTTTCCAGAAGCCCTATAAAGCGCAGAGATGCAATAACTGTAATTCTTTCTTAAAGCATTTTAAGAGGAACAACCCTCAAAGCAGCTATAGTTATGGGCAACACCAAATCCCCAATTTTCTGTCGGCTCTGTTGTGTCTCAGTCCTACGTATTTCAAGTACCATTCACAGTTGTCACTAAGAAGTGCAGGGACCTCCTCTGGACAGACCACCATCTCTATTTGTTCTTTCATATTTTCTGGAGCTCTGACTCCCCGCCCCTTCCCGAAAGCTCACGTCAGGTTCCCTTAACACGGTGAAAACCACAGGTGAGTCAGACCAGGGCCAGCCCTGGCACGTGGTGGGCTGGTGCACAGCAGCTGAAGAGCAGGGTGATTCTTGCCAAAACCCCTGGTGCTGCTGCAGGACCCGATGGGCACCCACCACCGCAGGGCACAGTGGGTCACCTGCCTTCTGGCTGCCTGCAAACTATATAACCACCTAAGAATTACAGCCCTGATGGTGTGTTGCTGTTTCTGGGCCCAAGAAGTAAAAGTGAAAAGCATTAACGTGTGCTAATTTCACTTTGAAGCTCTTGGGAACAGTGAAAGCAGCAGAGCAGGAATCGCTCATGGCAGAAAACATCCACATGAAAGAGAGGGCGTGTGAGGGAAGAGGAACAGAGACTTATTTACGCCTCTGCGAGGAGCTTCTGGGTGCCCAATGAGTAAGTGGCAAAGAGCTTGCAAGCAGACACTGGTGCACAGGGAGGATGCACGCTCCTGCACGGGTCATACTGCGGCACAGTCTGGGACATGGGGAGTCCACCAGCACCGTGTTTTTGGGTCTGCTAGGCAGCTCGCAGGCACATATGTGACTCTGGTAGTGTGATGCAGTGGAACTCAGATTGGCCCCAGCCATCTCCTCCCACGTGCTCCTGCCTGCACTAGGATCTCAACAGGCAGCTGTGAGGTGTGGCACATTGACCACTGCTGGTTCAGTCCCTCTCCAGCTCTCCCAGCTCTGAACTGGCTTGCAGGCGCTGTACCAAGAAACCAAGTCCCAAGCCAGCACAAGCCCTGTCCATGGCCTCCTGCCTGCCACAGCCTCTGACACATCGAACAGCACAGACCCGCACCTTGGGTTATTGCAGAGACCACCAAAACACCTCCAGGTTGAGGCAAAACCCAGCCCTGTAACCAAGATGCTGAGCCTGCCTGATCCCCAGTGCTTGCTTCAACCATTGCAAACCTCACCAGCATCCCTCCTTTGCCAAGTCAATGCTTTATAGAGCACGATGTCAACCACAAGAGTAATCCTGGGAGGAATTTTTGGAAATGCTGTTTTCTTAACTGGTCGACGTGCTAACCACCTTCTTACTATTTATATTTAGAGAACGCCTAACTGGAGAAGTGTTTACAGCTGATACACCTGAACCAGAACTTGCCTGACAGATGCAGGGATCACTATTCAGTTCTCCTGGGGGTATGGGGTGGAGGATGTTCTTAGACATCTCTTTGTTTGTGTTTACACCACTACCCATGGAGAAAGCAAACCTCAAGGTGTGAAGAAGCCAATCCCATCAATTAAGGGTTTAAGAAACCTTTCTGTTACTAAGTGAGTGAAGTAATGTCTGACAGGTAAAGTTAGGAATGTCTTATCTTCTCCTCTTTACCGAGAAGTGTCTGTAAGCTTTTTCTTCTTTTGTTTACCTACAATGTGTGGGGACAAGCCGGCGGGAGTCCCACCTGGCAGTTCAGCTGTTGGACAGACTGGCACCCTGCGGGCAGCAGAGCTGCACCTCGGTGCAATGAAGGGCTGCGAGGACTCCGGTCCTGTGAGGACTCCAGCCTGGATACATCCGTTTGGTTTAGGACAAGCAGGGAATACCAGCTGTCACAGATGAGACTGACGCGACACTTCAGAAAACAAGAACTAGGCCAGCATTTCAGTGAAAACCCCACACTGGCTGTTTGTATTCCCCTGGGCTCAGACTGGGTCACAGCTGGGCGTGCGGCTCGCTGCACTTGTTGCTGTGTTCAGCAGAGAGGACCCGTGTCCCACCACTGCGCTCCATCTGTTATTGCCACTGTGAGGTTAACTACCATTCAAGGGTGAACGGTGAAACAGCCCCTCGCCATGAAAAGCTCCACGAGACGCCGACAGCCGTCCCATCCTGTGACCCAGCCAGCCCCTCAAGGCAGACGGGGGTCTGGCCACCGACCACGCCGTGCTGCAGGAATTGACACAGATGATTCCCTCTGGAGGTGCTGTTATTCCTTGCGCATCCTTAACGATGCTCTTGTGGGCTGGCTGGGAAAAGCTGCTGCTAGGGACTGGCTTTTCCAGGCAGAGATGGTGAGTGCTTGCTCTCAGCTCTCACCAGAAGGCCCTGGTGGCATGTGGCAAGCTCAGCAGTGCCCGCTCCACAACCTGGCAATGCCCACTTCATTGGTCCCACTGCCAGCCTGACCATGGCTCTCCACCTCGACACGGATAGGTCTGTATTTTAAAACTTTCTTCTCATATTCCACATCAGCAATGGCTCCAGCAGTTCCTGTATCTGTCCCTCCATCCTTCAGCCTGTGGTTTTAAAGTGCTTTGGCTATTACGGAGGTACGAGCACCGAGGGGCTCCAGGAAGAGGTAAAAAGGACCCACTCAGCATTGCCTGTGTGTATGTATCTGCCAGCCTGGTAAATGTCTATTAGGAATGATATGCACTTTAGAACAGTTCACCTAGTTCTTTTAAATAGAAAAGTCACTTTATAAGAAGGAGACTTAAACGTTTAATCTGAATACTTGAAATAGTGCTGAGACAGAACAGACTTGAAAAAAAAAGAACAGTTCAGACGTAATGACTGACCTGACAGCTTACCAGCCCCTGCCCTTCCAAAGGAGGGCTGCAGAGAACTAACCAGAGAGACACAAACAAGAATTTCTGTTACCTCCATAAGACGCTTACTTTTAAGACTGAGCATCATAACTAGGGGGGAGGGAGGGAAACAGTCTTGAAGGGGTGGCTTTGCGGGATGCATGAAGACAGTG